TGTTTGTATGGAAAATAAGGATCTACGTACATCAAATCATCTTTAAGTTAAGTGGCAGCAGAAAAATTATCATTGAAATTTTAAAAGGTAAGCATAAACATTAATTCACTAATTAAATGCAGCGATCAATTTTGAGTTCTTTTGTAGTTTATTGATGCCTATTGCATCTACTCCTCCCTAGCTATTGTGATGAAGGTCAAACCAAGAGTCCTTCAAAGGAGCTAGCTTAAAAGCCGCCCTATCGGCCGAAACGTTGTGATAATTATGGAAACAAAGATGAGGCTGATAGTCCGAACAATGTAAATAAGGTTCATAATTTGGATGTCGATCAATATAATTAATCGACACGAAATATGGTTACACACACACACGCACACACACAAATGCGCGCGCACACACACACACACATATATATATATATATATATAAACAATATATATATGGTGTTGAATAATTTTATTGATAAATTAAAAATAACACAGATATACACACAAACACACCCACCCATATATATATATATCTATACATATACATATATATATATATATATATATATATATATATATATATATATTGATAATATTAGTGGTCAATATAAATATATATATATATATATATATATATATATATATATATATATATATACCCAAGAGGATAGAATCCAGGTAGAACTCAATTTCCAGGAGAGAGTAAGTATATATATATATATATATATATATATATATATATATATATATTGATAATATTAGTGGTCAATATAAATATATATATATATATATATATATATATATATATATATATTCCCAAGAGGATAGAATCCAGGTAGAACTCAATTTCAGGAGAGAGTATATATATATATATATATATATATATATATATAACCATTATTTTCTATGATACTCATATTCAAATAGAAGCTATTTTTTTTAATTAAACAGTATTTTTTATCCAATTGCATCTACCGGTCTGAATATTCGAGAAATCTTGTCAGAAAAATATATATGTCCTCCGGCAGATAGGTTTTAATGCCGGTGCTTGTTAATGTTTACATAACATAACCACTTTAAACCTTATTGTTTTTGAACGCTACATGGGTTTCTGTCTTAGTATTTTCTTTTTTCAAATAACAAAAAAATATAAAACAAAGGAAAAACAAAAACCCAAAGAGACTAAAAAAAATAACAACATGCGTATAAGAAACCCATTTATCTCATCGAGCGTTCCCGATTGACGCTTATATCAACAAAGCCGACTACCCCACATCTTCGGTAAGACAGGAGGGGGGTGGGGGAGTTTCGGGACGGTGGTTGCAGGAAAGGAGCGTCAAGACTGATGACAGTGGGTGGGTGACGAAGACAGAATATCACTGAAAAAGCGATAACAAAAATCAAAATACAAACGCGAGAAATCCCCACCTCAAAAAATAAGAAGAGAGTAAAAAGAAAAAGAAAATGAAATTTAATTAAGACTGGCGCTGCTAACTAATGCAGTGCAAGTTCATGCATGCACATATAAAATTATATATATATATATATATATATATATATATATGATTGAATTGATTACAGACATTATGTCTGCTAATTTTTAATAAAATCCGTTCATATTCATACGACAAATAGACTAACAAGAAGGCTTACACTCCACATGTCTGACCATTCGTCCATTGCGACACATCTACAACAATATTCCTGCCCGCATTCACAATATAAAAAAATGACTAATCGACAACACAACTATCCTACACCATGAAAACAACAAATCTAGATTACAGATACTAGAAGCAATTTATATTAAAAAAAAAATTAAAGCCGGCACTAAACAGAATCAACTATGAATACTGCAGTAATGTTCTGAAATGCCTGTAAAAGAACATTTTTTTCATGTTTTAATGCACGCGTGACCATGACTTTATAACAGAGAGAGAGAGAAAATTCCATAAAGGATAATTTTTTCACATTCTAACCGTGTCAACCGTTTTACATTTAAAAGTATAATGAAAAAATTACGGTAATGGATAACAACGCACAACTGTCTATAAATATTTGGACTAATGAACAACATATAGTTTTGTACTACTAGCACCCCTGAAGATGATCTTGAAAGAAGATCGAAAGTACTTGGGAAATGAAAATCAAAGAAATTTAAATAGCTATAGCCTATTTCTCTCATCCTTTACCTTCAATACATGGAAGGTTATTCGTGAGTATGAACGGATTTTATTAAAAATTATCAGACATAATGCCTGTAATTTATTCAATCAGACATGTTTAAAAGTTTAAAATATATTTTATATATATAAATATATATATATATATATATATATATATATATATAAAGTATATTTCTTTTCAACATCATCACTTGATAAGACACAGTGTGTGTTGAAACAAAATGGCTTTTTTTGTAGTGATCTTTATAACATACTTATGTTATAATTTTATAAAAATAATATATATATATATATATATATATATATATATATATATATATATATATA